TAATAAAAGGGTAATATGCACACTGATGCTAACAGCAGAATGACTGGGAATGACTGGTCACTATGACACATACTGACCACCGGGGGGCAGATGCTTAATGCAGCAACTGCCCCCTGGTGGTCAGTGTGCTCACATAGGGGGAGCTCTGCTCAGCCACAAGCCAGGCTGATGGCTGCCAGTACAGCAGTGGTGGGGGGAGCCTCTCCCGCCTCCTCAGCAGCGCTAAGCATGTCTGACTGCAGCTTAGGCCTGGTCCCTGCTGGCAAGTGGAAATCCCTGAGGGTTCCCGAGCTGCCAGAGGGATGTCTAACTGCCAGCTTAGGCCAAATCCCCCAGGGAGTGGGCCTAATCCAGCAGGTGGTCATTCCCTGAAGGGTCCTAGACTGCGAGAGGGCACAGGTTGGGCTGAGGGACCCCCCCGAGTGTGCAGACTTTTGTGCAACGGGCCTCTAGTCTACTTAATAAATAAGAGCTGTCTCTCACTTCTAGAGATAAAGTAAAGCTTTTAGAAAGGATTTAACACAGTGCTTGGCAATAGCAAACATTTGACAAGTGGTAGCTGCTGCTGCTATTATTATTATTATTATTATTTATTATTGTTTCCTTTGGTGAGTTTGGGGTAATTTCATATTGATTTTGAAGAAGACCTGAACGGAATCCAAAACATGTAATCCCTTGAGAGCTGTCAACTCCTGACCCCTCACCCCCGCACTCAGGACCCCATGGAATATGCCTGAACCTTTGCACAGTGGTCAGAACCCCCACTCACTTGTCCATGTTCATTGGAATGAAGGGTGCGTAGTCCCAGATGACTTCCTCTGCAGCGATGAAGTATTCCCACCTCTTCATGTGTCGCCGCTGCTCTGGCGTCAGCCACTTAGGACTCCGCGTCTTCTTGGCGCAGTTCTCAATGTTGATGCGAGCCTGCATCCCAGCTGGGTTAGTACATACAGACAGTGAAAGAATTGGGGGGAAGGAATTAAAGCTGATCAAACTGTAACTTTTTAATGGTGGAAGGGTTAACTGATAATGGTGAAAGCAAGGGAGAGAGGGGACGGGCTGGGAGGGAAATCTGGGAAGATTGCTTTTGCTTCTTCCAGAGCAGGAACATCTGTGGCTTCCAGACCCTGAAGACCCTATGACTTAGGTCTTGTTGGTTTCTCCTTTTTCCTGTCATCTGCCCCTTTATTTGTAAAATCAAAAGAATACAGTAATACTGTATGAAATTATTAAAAATTAAGTAAGTTAATACAAAAGCAATTAACCTCAACAATGTTAGTTTTGTTGTTTTATGATCACTTGGGTGACAATTTCATTAGTTCAAATATAATTTTGACTGCACAGTGCAAAAATGTACCACAGTACCCGAGCTCTGGCCGGCATGGCTCAGTTGGTTGGGCATTGTCCTGTGCACTGAAAGGGTCGATTCCTGGTCAGGGCATATGCCCAGATTGCGGGTTCGATCCCTGGTTGGGAGTGTGCAGGAGGCAGCTGATCAATGTTTCCCTCTCACATCGATGTTTTTTTCTCTCCTTTCCCCTTCTTCTCTCTCTAAAAGCAATAAAATAAATCTTTTTTTATAAAATGAAATGGTCCCAATCGTCTTTCTTATGTGTTTTGCTTGTACATATTATTTTGGTAACAAAATAATTTCCTATACTAATATCATTTGCTTATAATTTAGTCTCTATTTATAGGAAACCCCCTCCCAATAGTTTCAAAGCAACTATGTGTAATAGAACAATGAGTATTTTGTTTACATGGAACCCCATAACAACCTGGGCTGACCTTCCCCGACCAGAGTTCACTGATGTTCTTTCAAGCTCATTCCTCAGCTGCTTAGGTTTTAGGTTTGAGCCATTCAGTGTACAGTCATTGGGTTCCTCTTTGTGCTCATTTTGTTCTAAAACACAGTCTTTTCATGTTAAAACTTCTACACTTTCTCTAACTTGGCACTTCCCTACATTTGCACGTTTGCCTTGTTCTGGCATCCAGATCTTTCTTTTAGCTACATGCTAAATACCACAAGAAAGAACATCTCTGTGCATTTCTCTCCTTCCTCCCTTTTCCTTTCAAGGACGTAGAGGCCTCTTCAGCTTTTGCTTCATTTAAAAAAGTCTTTGTCGATTTCCCCCCCCCCCTCCTTCATCCCCAAGCAAGGCTGTGAATCTAAGAGTGGAGAACGTAAGTTCTCTTCCGAGGGACCACGGCAGGTATGTCTGGAGTGTGGGTGGCTTAAGAAGGCAGAGGATAAGGAGGGAGTTAGCGCCTGGGAAGAAGGATCCTACATTCATAAGCAAGACTGTTGGGAGCATGTCTTGCCTTGAAAGTGCTTGGGGATGAGAGAAGAAATGATCCACTTCCCCTCCGGGCCCATCGTCATGTTAGCAGTCGTGGACGTAGCGCTGACGAAGGTCACGGCTGAGACCTTGCGATGGTTCTGCTCCAGGACCTGGCCATTGAAGTGAATGGAGAACAGCTCTGGTCCAGAGCTCATGCCGATCAGATGCCAGCTGACGTGGTCCTGGGCACAAACGGTGATAGCTGCGAGAGGAGGAGAGAGGGGGGCGGGGCAAAGCCAGGCAGTCAGCACTCTGTGGTAAGAACTTCTTCACCCCAAATGGATGAGTACCTGCTATTGTGCAAGGTTCTGAGGGATAGACACTCAGCGGTAGTGCCCGCCCTGGAAACGCAGACATCTGAGGGATGGGCCAGCCAGCAGCTGCCACTCACTGCGGTGAGGGATACTACAGAAGTGAGAGCAGAGCGGTGAGAGGGGGTATTTGTCCAGAGACAGGGATTGCTAAGGGGTTAGGCCAAGGAGGGAGCCAGGTAGCTGACCACCATCCTGGGTTACCGGGACCAAGGGGTTTCCCCGGATGCAGGACTTCCACTGTTGGAACCAGGACAGTCCTGGGCAAGTCAGGCAGCTGGTCACCCAGAGCCAATCTGGGCTCAGCTGGAGGGAGTCGCCAGTCTCCAGGAGGGCGGCGTTCAGAGCCTAAGGTCTCAGCAGGATAGAGAGAGGCGCAAGCTCTGCCTGAGGAAGAGTGCGAAGGTGGTTAAGGATTGCTGATTGCCCCTGTGCCCCTTGCTGATCGCTTTAATGAGACGGCAGTGAATTACTCTGTGGGTCACGGGCTCTCCTTAAAACGCAGAGGGCAAGTCCTCATGTGCTGGGCCCCTGGGAGCACTTCATGGGCGGAGTAATGGGAACTGAGCGCAGAGGCTGAGTCCTGCTCCCTCTTTGCCCACAGCGACTGGGAAAATGCCCCTTTGCTGCGTGGGAGATTCCAACCCCAGCTTCCCTCCTTGGCCCGGCTTTTAAGTTTCAGATCCACAATCACTCGATACAAGCAGTCACACCTCATTGCAGCAAGTGCTACCACAGAGGTAAGGTCGTGGGGCTGAGGATCAGTCTCTTACCCACAGAGGGCTGAGGGCTTGTCTTTTTTGGGGGGAATCATTACAACAAGACAGGGATTCAGACATCATGATGAGAACAAGAAGCTAGAACCACAGAATGAAGCTGAAAGGTAGGCTTTGGTGGAAGCATTTAGCACCCCAAAGAGATGCTCGTATCGACTGGAGCATTCAGTACATCTGTACTAGCACTCACCACCGCTATTCAGCCTACATGCTTCGTGAGGCTGTTACAAGCATTAACACCTCTGTTTCTCCTCACGCCATTTCCCTTCCCTGCCCCTCTCAACCCCAACTGGTCTGTCTTTTTCAACTTCAAATTCATATACTCCCTGCCCTGATCAAGTTATTACTTTTATTTGTGTGCCTATGGTTTCCTTCTGCGGGCTTCTGCATATTTAACAGATGATTCACTCGGCCAGGGCACAGATACAGCTTCTCCTGGGAACACACCCCTCGAAGGCCTATAGTACTGGGCATGCTATTTTACACATAGAAAATTCTTAACTACCATCTGTCCCAGGAGAGATGTTTAATCCACTTTTGTAAGTTAGCTCATCTCAACAACTAACTGCCAAGGACCACACTAAGGTCGCGAAATGAGCAAGGAGCCTCAGTTAACTACGTTTTAGACGCTGAATCAAAGCCAAGAGTCATCGGAGTGTGTTTGTAATAGCCCAGGCAGAGACGCATTTTTCGAATGAAATAGAAAAACAATTGAAAGCAATGCCCAGACCTCAACTCCTGACAAGTTTGGTTGGTGGTAGGTGAAGCCATTTGTGATTTTTCAGATATAGAGAAGGACCCGTGAGAAATTTAATAAAGCAACATTTTCATTTTTCTGCTTTTCCCCCAGGATCTTTGGTTCTACGCATTTCTATCAGATGGAAGTAAAAGTGATGAAAGATGATAAAACCTTGAGAACCCTGAGCTAGATCACCTTACCTTCCTGATTATGAGTTGAAAGTAGTGGGTACCATCACCTTTCTTAGTGCTGGAGGACAGCCGCAGGCCTAAGGCACTGACGAATCTAGTGTTGTTGGGAATGCGTGTTACCTGGCATTGTCCCATGCACATAGCCGTTGACCGTGTACATGACGGATGATGACCGGCTCCAGCTCTTGCTTTCATCAAACACAGCAAACATGAGCACCTGCTGCCTGTCAAACATCTTCTGACTCCCATCCTCGGTGAGGGTGCCTGGGAAAGAAAAGAAGTGCTTGTCAATAGCACCCCAGGTAGAAAACTCTCATTTGCTGTTCCTAGGTGGCAGAGCTGAAGGCAAGCAACCAATCTTAGTGATGTCAACTCGGAGAAATTCTTGTTTGAAAAATGGCATCTTGCCCTGGCTGGTGTGGTTCAGTTGCTGGGCGTCATCCATGAACCGAAAGGTTGCTAGTTTGATTCCAGTCAGTTCTTAGTGATGTCAACTCGGAGAAATTCTTGTTTTAAAAATGGCATCTTGCTCTGGCTGGTGCAGCTCAGTTGTTGGGCCTCATCCATGCACCGCAAGGTTGCTGGTTTGATTCCTGTCAGTGCACATGCCTAGGTTGCAAGCTCAATCCCCAATAGGGGACGGGCAGGAGGCAACTGATTAATGTTAAGCTCTCACATTGATAAAACTCTCATTTGCTGTTCCTAGGTGGCAGAGCTGAAGGCAAGCAACCAATCTTAGTGATGTCAACTCGGAGAAATTCTTGTTTGAAAAATGGCATCTTGCCCTGGCTGGTGTGGTTCAGTTGCTGGGCGTCATCCATGAACCGAAAGGTTGCTAGTTTGATTCCAGTCAGTGCACATGCCTAGGTTGCAAGCTCAATCCCCAATAGGGGACGGGCAGGAGGCAACTGATTAATGTTAAGCTCTCACATTGATATTTCTCTCTCCCTGCTCTCCCTTCCTCTCTCTCTGAAAATCTATGAAAATATAAAAATAAGTAACATCTTTATCAAGTAGTGATGATTAGGGGCTTATGAAAATCTTGCTGCCATATTAAACATTTTCTCTGGCGCATCATAGCCTTGAGGAATGGGGCTTTGACGATAAATTTGACTTGACATAGAGAGGAAACATTTGGTGACTGTCAAGATTTGGGCAAAAGTATCATTTCCTCCTGTGTCAGTAGACGAACACACAGGTAACAGATCTGGGTTGGTAAAAGCCCAGCTCTCCAAGTTCCGTCCAGCCTCCTTGCTGTTCATGGAATGGTTCACCAGAGAGCTGGTTGAGAGGGTCAAGGTGAATTCTCATATAAAGACAAAATGCAGCTGAAAGTAGAATGAAAGAAGAGCTTTTTATAAGTTTTGATTTTGTTGTGTGCCATCCCAGTGTCCTCTGTATGCCAGGCAAGGACCACGTGTGTTTGTGTAGTGAATAAATGACTAGCAATGGGTGTAGGGGTGGTCTGTGTGTCTGTGCAGACAGACGGCGAGCTCATCCCATTATTCCCCACAGTGCAGTGCCTGTGATCCTTTGTTTTCATGAAAGATGATCTGAATTCTTTTCAGGCAAAATGAAAATCCAAGCTGGCTCCTCAGAGGCCTAGACGATGACATTTCTTATAAAAGTCAGTTGAGTGTGTTTGCAACCTGCTCCCCAAAGTGCTCCACTGTTTATACGAAAGGAAGCTAGAGTTTTGTGTGTTTGGAGACCAAATTATCAGCCCCAAACCTCCGACACATTAGGCAAAGCTCTTCCCCAGTGCTGTCAGCAGAGGGCAGGCTGCTGTACACTTGCAGGAAGACTCGGCCTTGAGGTAAACATGCAGACCACAGGCGTGGCCTCAGAACCGACTCCCAGACAGGGATTTACTCAGAGAGGCTCCAGGCCTGAGATGGAGGAGGGGTTGGAAGGACCAGAGGAGGACTCCAGACCCTCCGATGTGATGCCAATGTCCATCAGTGGTCTGCTTCCCACCCTCCTCCCTCTGCTCGATTT